GCTCGCCATACGTTTTTTGCACCGCCGCTGCCCTCCACCCGTCTGCGTCACACGGTTCCGTAGCAGGACCGTGCAAGAAAACTCCAAGGTGTCGCGTAACCGACCGCGCAGGTAGTAAGCGCCGTGGCGGAAGGCATAGCTTTTCATGCTTCACAGTCCAGTCTTACTCGTTAGATCGAATCCTTAGAGGATAATTCAGAGGAAACTCTGTACTCGGGAGTATTCTAAGACCCTGAGCGAAAGTATCGTATAGGCTCGATGTGAAAACGGCTGACACCCGCTCCACTAGCGCTAGCCAGTTTGGGGCCGGCGCAGTAGCGCGCGTACAAGGCGTTCGTGGCAAGCTGATGTGAATTCCGGGTTCAGAGACCAAACTACCCCTTAGCCTACATCTTCAGCACATTTGGTGCTTCGAGGTGTTCTCGCGCCGGCGTTCGAAGCGCAGGCGGTCGAGCTGGGGCGGAATTCGGACCAGTCCCACATACAGAGAATAATAGCAGTCAAAAACTGGAATAAATCCCGAAGATTAGGGCAGTAAAGATTCAATGATGCCAGAAGACTCTATGCCAGCAATCTGGGATGTTTGGCCTATGGGCCACATCGCAACGGGTCGACATTAGAACTGGATTTCAACTTACAAGGAAATTTTCACATGAATCGCTGTCATCTGTCCACAGATCAAATTGATCCATCGTCATCAGCATTTACATACCATCCGCTGTTGAATGAATGACGAGAAATGACCCACCACCCACTTGTTTTTGCTTATCAGCCTCAAACTTTTAAATGAAACCATCAACATCACTTATGTGAAAGTACATTTATCGATTTGACGAAATGGCATTCTCAGATTTCGTTACGGATGGTTGCTGAACTACACTGGGGCTCCCACAGATTGAGGACGAGGATACGATGGAACGATAGAAGAATCCAAAAGTGTCAATGCAGTCAACAGCAATTCGATTCGATGTAGCAGTAGAGTACAGTACATACACACCTTATCCCTGAGGCGGGATAGGCGTGACACAGGGGGGGGGCAAAAAAGTCACTTCGCCGGGGAGTCACATTTAAAGCAAGTTTTCGGCTGCCCACACACGCGGACGTGAAAATACGAGTACCGAAGGGCGGGATGATACCAAGATCGTTTTCCTTTATTACAGCAGGAGCTGGCCTCGGCTCATCACCTTCTACGTAGCACCAAATATGAAGCTTATCTCCAGTCGCACTCGACTGGAGAAGACATTGAATTCATGTACCTCTCACAGGCTGGCGAAACTTCTAGTATGGAGTCACCCATGGATAGCTACCTGGAGACCAGTACTCTCGATCTGGAAGACCTCCAACATCGAGCAGCTCCGACAACGTCGCCACGGTCTAGGACATCATCTTCACCACAGTCGCCAAGGCGCGGGTTGATGGTATGGACCGGAAGTACTGGAATGGAAGACCGATATTTTTCTTCGTGGACCCGGACTGAAGTGAGCGCTGGCGGTTACATCGAGCAACTCGTGAAGAATATCCTCCTCACATGTCGTCGCCCGTACCTTCTTGGAAACTTTGTACTGCTACAGCATTGGGTGCCACCACATGGAATCGAAGGGCATTGGAGAAACTCTCGCCTACTTGGAATGGAAGGGGGCTGAGTACCTAAAGAAGATGGAATATCCAAGTAGGTCACCTGACCTGAATCCCCTCAATTACCCGGTTCGGGCGAGTTCAATAGGGTGGTCTACGGTGGCGGAGAAATCGACTATCTCGCTGATCTCAGGCATCACATCGCGTGCCAGAATCTTTCGATGGCCCTCGTCCAGAAGGCTGTGGCGGAGTGTCCTTGATAGTATTTAAATTCATGTTCTTAATATCGGTGGGTAAAAATTGTCCGATCCGAGTTTATATAAAAGTGTTTAGGGTGGAGACGTGGTTCACCGATTTAGGTGGATGAACACCCTGGAATGGTGCGAACGTGGCCGAAGAAAGAAGAATGAAGAAGGATAAAGAGTATAGTGATATATGTGATATACGACTATATAAGGCTGAATGAGCAAATAAACATTCATTCCGCCCTGTCTCCTGGGGGGGGGGGGGGGGGGGGGGGGGGAGTCCGACTCGAACTGGCGATCAGGATGAGATTCGAACTCACGCGGGAAACCCCAATGGATTAGGCAGGCGATTGATGGCAAGCAGATGTTTTGCCCACATTATGATCCTCAGATACCCGTGGTATGGCAACGGACGCTTCCGAATATGGGTTAGGTGCCGTGGTATATCATAAGATGCCGGACGGTAAAGAAAAAGTGATAGCGTATGCGTCACGAACGTTAACAAAGGAAGAGAAAAATTATTCCCAGATAGAAAAAGAGGCGTTAGGTATAGTATATGGGGTGGAGAAATTTAACCAATTTTGTAGCGGGACGTAGTTCACATTGTTAACAGACCATCAGCCACTTGTGAAAATATTTGGACCCAAAAATGGCATACCAACAATAGCAGCGAAACGCTTGCATCGTTGGAGTCTCCGCCTGATGATATACTCATTCGACATTGAGTACAGAAAGACCTCCGAATTTGGAAATGCGGATGGGTTATCTAGATTACCGGATCCGAGAGAACTGCCGAGTTCGGAAATGGTGATCGATGAAGTGGCAGAGAAACAGATGATGGCTGAAACTTGGGAGGAAATTATTTTAAATGAAGATCAGGTGGCTAAGGCGACCACCTTAGCAAAAGGCGTTCGCCGCCTTAGACGACGAATTGTCCGATCGTCGCAAGCACAGCAGTATTCAACGGAGCAAGTCCGCGCAGGGAATCGCCCTACGACGGTCCAACGCAACGCTACACGTGCATTCAGCCTGTAAGCCGTTGTCTTGCGGACTGAAAGTAATCGTGGTTGCAACAATCATCCATCTCTGGCTTCTTTATCTCGCCGTTTCGAGTAACGAAAGTGGTATCTCTGCGAATGCAGACGATGATGCGAAATGCACGGGGGCATTTCGCGAACCAGCAGATTCAAGGCTACCTGATGAGGTCTTGGTCAGCATCAGCTCCTGCAAAACAGGATGGATAGCGAAATGGTAGTAAGAACACCTCCCGATTTTAGCCGCTCTGATGCAGGCCCTCTTTCGCCCATTCCGGGCAAATAGTAAGCGCGTGGAATGGGTAAAACGACAGGTGTAAAATTTCTCCGACAATTTCGCTAGGAAAAACTGCTCTCAAGGCCAGATACGACCTCCTTCCTAACCGATCAAATGCGACCCCCCGGTGGGATTCTCCCATCCTGTCTGAGCGGCCTCTCTGCTATCTGTCAGAGTAGTGTCTGCGTTACAAGGGGTGTTCGACACATTCTCCAAAGCCGTTTACGAATTGTTTGGTAGTTGTCCCCTTAACTGTAAATAGTTTGTAAGACTGCATTGGTTTACTGTATCTAGCTACTGTCACTATTACATGTTGATCATTTACAAAATCTTTGAATCTGCTCTGATTGAATGTTCAAGCTCAAGCTTTAGAGATGCACTGAAAAGACAAACTTATCACCATAATATAATAAATAATAATACAATCCTCTGGATATAATCTAAAAATGTAATATAACAAATAAATAAATAACTGTTTTTTTTACTTGAATCAATGTGCAGTCATGAACCCTACAAAAGATAGGGAGTGTGACGGAAGAGGAGCTTGGAGCGCGGCCTAGGCAGTTTCCCGGCGGGCTCAGGATGGCATCGTTGTTGGATCAAGGTCGCCGTAGCTGCGCTTCAATGCGCGCCGCGTCACACGCCCTATCGTTGACGGGGATTCATCACTGTAAATGCTGAGATATTCTTGTGTGGTTCGCAAGAAAGCCAGATAGGTGAAAAAAGCCAGAATAGGTGAAAAAAGCATTGCTGGGGTCAACAAAAAAAGAATGGCGAAAAAAGAAAGAATGGTGAAAGAAGAAAAAAAGAATAAGTGCAACTTCAGGGCTACCACCTACCGTTACGATAGGATGTTTGCGGTTCAAGGCGACGAAGAGGACGAGTTGGTCGTGGGGCAGTGGACGGGCAAGAGCTACGCCGTAGAGCCGTTTCATAACGCTGCATCAATAGCTGCATTCTGAAATCACAATTCACTGTTTGGCAATTGTAGTCAGTTCCAGAACCAATAAACCGACTAATGAATGGAGTGAAAGCAATCGATTACTTCTGTATAGGTTCTACTGAGCGAGAAATGCCAACCTTTCATTTGTAAACTTCAATACACATGGTATTTTAGGTCCATTTCAAGAGACTCGGCAATTTATGAAACTTCAATGAGATGTACCGACGAGCTGTGGCAAAGCAGATAAAAGGGGCTAAATATAAGACGTGAAATGCTCTTATGCAACAGTTTAAAGTCAACGTGAGAATTTCACTTTGAAAACACTTTCTGCTCAGAGAACCACTTTAGATGACCCTTTTTAATTGTAGGCACATTTCGCGCTGGTTGTATGGGCGTGTCGCGTGGAGTGTTGATCCTCAGTCGCGGCATTGCGCGCCTTAGCAGAGCATTTCCTAGATAATCGGGAAGTAACGCTCAAGAACCGTACGCGCGGGGATGGATTTACCATAATGGATTCATCACTGATGTGCCTCTCTTTTTCCTGAGCAGCTTAGAAAGCGACGCTCGCCAATGAGGAACGTGTAATAGGGGCCTGACTCCGCCCATAGATCGGGGAAAGTGTGCCTTAAATGCAATAGGTTGGACGACGAGACAGGTAGTGGTATGAATATTTGTTCTCATAGGAAATAGAAACATGGCCATGTCATGGAGAGTACAAGAGGGGAATGTTCCAAAATATGACCCTCCAAAGGTCGTCCAGCGTTGTGAGGGAAATAGAAGCCGGTAGTTTGGAAAACTTGCATAAGCGCCAGCAAACTCG